GGTGACTGTTAGCACACCTAGCAGGGATACTTCTGGTGCCACTGGGCCCCCAGAGACCTTGGTGATGGTCTTCCAGTTSCTGGTTATTGTCCTTAGATAGAAGTGGCCACATTCCTAGTGGGTGGCAGCAGTAGCATCAAGCCTGTAGGTACCTTGGTATTGGGCTTCCAGGCCTCAGTTGGTGTCCCAAGATGGAATCTTCCCCAACTAAATATGGCGGAGGTGGCAGTGGAGGTAACCCAATATAGCAGTTGAGGTGTCCCAAGATGGAGGCAACCACTTTCAGAGATGGGGCTAGAAGGATGGGCTGTGTGATAGCATTGGGAAGCCTGTTCGGTGATGGCACAGTGTGGCACGCAGTGCTGCAGCAGACAGCTGCTTCCTGACCCTGTCCATTGTCCCACAGTGGAGATTACCATGTGGGAAGGGCTATGGCTGTGGCTGTAGTGTCCCAAGATGTAGGTGGTGGGTGCAGTCACACTTTGGTGGATAGGGAACCACAGTGTGGTGTTCCTCTCCATGCAGGCACATGGTTCTTGGCTCCAGCTGAGGCTGCACATGGTGGGTTCTGGTCTGGGCTCCATAAAAAAAAATATATTTAAAAAAAATGGACTAGGGATGCAGCTCAGTGGTAGAATGCCCTTGGGTTCAATCCCCAGTCAAATAAATAAATAAATAGGAATTCTGGACCTCTCAGATCTGAGCACTATAAGGAGGTGGAAGGCTCCTTTCTCTTTATATACCTAAGTCTGTTGCCTGGCAAGGAACCAAGTGCACACACATGCAGATGTCCTAACCTGCACACTCACACTCTGGTCTACACAATGAGGCACACATCATCATCCTTCAGAATACCAGGGAGCACAGAGAAGGTCTTCAAAACTCAGAAAAGGAGGGGGCACATTCAAAGATGCTTTCTTTTATCTATATATATATAAATTTTTTTTTTAGTTGTCAACGAAACTTTTATTTATTTATTTATTTTTATTTATTTATTTATTTATATGCAATGCTGAGAATTGAACCCAGGGCTTCACACATGCTAGGCAAGAGTTCAACCCTTGAGCCACGACCCTGGCCCTCAAAGATGCTTTCTCAAAGTTAGAAGAAAACAGAGCAATTGCTTCAACATTATGAAAGAATTCATCCACAGTCAAATTACCAATTAAACATGAATAGACTGAAGATATTTTCTTTTTTTWAATTAAATATGTTTTAGTTGTCAATAGACCTTTATTTTATTTATTTATATGCGGTGCTGAGAATTGAACCCTATGCATGCTAGGCAAGTGCTCCACCACTGAGCCACAACCCCAGCCCTGAAAATATTTTTATTTCCACTTAACAGGTATGGTTGTATGGCAGCTAGCCTCTAAGGTGGCCTCTAATGAGTTCCAGATCCTGGTATTTGCATTCTTGTACCATTCTTTCACATGTCCGTGAACATGGCTGACCTATGGAGCCAAGGGAGAGCGCAGAACTGCCAGTATGTGTCTTCCAAAGCTAGCTCGTAGGCAAYGTTATGGTTTCTACCTTGCTCTATTCTGGATCACTTGCTCTGGTGAAAGCCAGCTGTGATCAGATCATAAGATATTCAAACAGGGCCAGTTGCGGTGAGCACACTGTAATCCCAGTGGCTCAGGAGGCTGAGGTGGGGAGTGGCAAGTTCAAAGCCAGCCTTAGCAACCGTGAGGCGCTTAGCAACTCGATGAGAACCTGTCTCTAAATAAAATACAAAAGAGTGCTGGGGATGTGGCTCATGGTTGAGTCCCCCTGATTAGGTTCAATCCCCGGTAACCCCCGCAACAGCAACAAAAAAGATTCAAACAGTTCTGTGGTGAGGTCCATGAAGCAAGGAACTGAGACCTCCTTCCAACAGCCTGCACAGTTTGCTGCCATGTGAGTTGGCCATCTTGGAAGTGGATCCTTAAGCCCCAGTCAAGCCTTCCAGAAGAAGATCCTTAAGCCTTCTCTCCATGGGAGACCCCAAGCCAGAACCACCCAGCAAAGTTACTCCCAAAGACCTGACTCCCAGAAACTGTGAGATTACAAATGTTAATTGTGGTTTAAAGCCATTAAGTTTGGGAGTAATTTGTTACACAACAAAAGAAACTAACACAGGTATATAAGAGGTAAGGTGGAAGGAGCCCCAGTATTTTGTAGTTTCTCTAATCAGTAGGTGAAGGTTAGCTGGGCRCAATGGTTCATGCCTGCAATTCCAGCAGCTYGGGAGGCTGAGGCAGGAGGATTGCAAATTCAAAGCTAGCCACATAGGACATTACAGAAAAATTACAGCAGGTTAAAATGTGCTTGTGCAATTGGGTCTTGCTTTCTCTTGCTCCTGGGAACTCGGTGACTGTCACCTTGTAATTGAGCTCAGACAGTTTGTTGGAGACATAGACCCTATCATCTCATATAACAGCCAATATCAATGAGGCATGTGAGGCCATTCCAAACTGGCACAGCAAAGAACTATTCACAAAACTTTGAGAAATAATAAATATTTGTTTTTAAGTTGTTAATAAATGTTGTTGTTGAAGTTTTAAAATGAATTTAGGATGAATTCACGCAGAATTAGCTAACGGGTCCTTAAGTGAGACTCAGTTTTTCCAAAGAAAAGCTACTGAGTATATCATTCAATTAAATCAACACTTATTAAGTGCTTACCACACGCTGGGCCCTTGCCTGAGATTGTGATGTGAAAATAAGCATAATTTATGACCTAGAGCTACTTTGAAGCAGAACCAATCTTGTCTACTTCACAAATGACTGAAGTAGGAAAACTTGAACAGATCAATATTTTTGTTTGAGTTTAGCAGTCTTACCGGGGCACTCCTGAGCCTGCTGTGAAGTTCAGAGTATCTCAGAACTTCCTGGGATCCTGGGGGTTTTCTTCTTTCCATCACAGAGCATTCTATTCTGAAAACAAAATCATTTTGATTCTTTTTAAAGAATAAATAAATATTTATTCATATATTCACAGTAGTGAGGATTAAACCCAGGTGGCTTTACTACTGAGCTACATCCCAGCCCTGTAAATTTTTAAAAAAATTTTTGAGATAGGGTCTTGCTAAGATATCCAAGATGGCCTTGAATTTTCTTTATTCTTCTGTTTTTTTTTTTTTTTTTTTTGTACTGGGGATTAAACCTAGGCCTAGGGTTATTTTACCACTGAGTTCCACCCCCAGCCCTTTTATTTATTATTATTTTAAATTTTGAGACAGGGTCTCTCTAAGTTGCTTAAAGCCTCACTAAGTTTCTGAGGCTGATTTAGAACTTGCCATCCTCCTGCTTTGGCCTCCTGAGTGGCTGAGATTACAGGCATGTGCCACAGTGCCTGGGGTGGCCTCCAACTTTTCATTCTCCTACCTCTGATCCTCTTGCCTCAGCCTCCTGAATATGTAGTGGCACACTGTTCATTTCAATTCTTTTTTAAAAATATTTTTTACTTGTCAATGGACCTTTATTTTATTTATCTATATGTGGTGCTGAAAATCTAACACAGTGCCTCCATACATGCTAGGCAAGGGCTCTACTACTGAGCCACAGACCCAGCCCTTTTCAATTCTTTATGACACTATGAAAAACACTTTCCATTGCACTTGGGTACACAAACTCCAATATAAAAAAAGTTTCATCAATTGAGACTAAATTTAAGATACATACTGAGTTTTTGTATTCTATTTTATTCTTTTTTATATATTTTTTTTGTTGTAGTTGGACACAATACCCATTTTTTATTAATTTACTTTTATGTGGTGCTGAGGATTAAACCCAGAGCCTCACACGTGCTAGGCAAGCATTCTACCGCTGAGCCACAACCCCAGCCTCTCTATTTTATTCTTTCAATATGTTGGTTACACCCAACATGTGGCGCACACATGTAATCCTAGTGACTCTGGACTCTGGAGGCTTAGGCAGGAGGAAGGCAAGTTAGAAGCCAGCCTCGGCAACTCAGTGAGGACCTAAGGAAYTTAGTAAGACTCTATATAAAAATAAAAAGAGCTAGGGATTTAGCTCAATGGTAAAGAGCCCTTGGGTTCAATCCCCAGTACAACAACAACAATAATAATCATTTAAAAAAGTATATCACAATCTTTTAAATCAGCCATTTAAAAGAGCTGTTCTGAAATATCACATAGGGGAGGCAATTTTAAGATCATCTAGCACGGGGCATGGTGGCACACGCCTCTAATTCCAGCAACTTAGGAGGCCCAGACAGGAAGATCGAACGTTCAAGACCAGCCTCGGCAATTTAGCAAGGCCCCAAACAACTTAGCGAGATCCTAAAAATAAAAAGGGCTGGGAAGGTAACTCAGTGGCAAAGCGCACCGGGTTCAATCGCCAGTACTAAAATAAATAAAATGAAAATAAACCATCTGGTTGAAGCCCTTTACTTGAACCAAGACTCAGAGAGGTTTAGTCACTTGCCCAGTGCTTAGATTTGATGGTAATAACCACCAGTCATTGAAAACCTACCTTGTGTCAGTCATCACTCTGGGATCTTGAATCGCATTATTTCATTTAACATTATTCCCACTTCACAGACAAGGAAACAGTCTCAGAATTGGGCAAATGACTTCTTCAGAGCGTCATACCATCCTAGCACTTGTCTCCGGGTCAGGAGGTCCACAAAGCCCGCTATCAAGAACGTGGTCGGGAAATCGGGTGTGTGAGCTCTCCACGCCCGAGCGCACGTGTGAGGCACTGATAACGCCGTGGTAAGAGTGCAGGGCCTTAGCACTCCGGGCGCCTTCCTCCACCAGCTCCAGTGAAACGTGGCAGCTGAAGAAGAAAGCGCAGACTTCAATCTCGGGGAGAGGGATTCGAATCCCGCACCACAGTCTGCTAACACCAGCAGCATCTCTACCCTTGCGTTTCCACGGCTCTGAAGCCGGTGTTGATAGGAAGACGCCTGTCAAAGTCCCCCCGAGCCACTCCCATCAGAACCACGCCCATCGCAGCCACGCCCACGATCACGCCCCCTCCCCCGCGGGCGCATGCGCCGCTCAGGGGCGCCTTTTACGACGCGTCAGACACTGCGCTTGGCGGCCGCAGGGCAGCCGAGGGAGAGCTGCGCGAGCGGCACGGGGCTGAGGGGACGCGCAGGTGGCGGCGTCGCCATGTCGCACGGCCACAGCCACGGCGGGGGCGGCTGTCGCTGCGCCGCGGAACGGGAGGAGCCGCCGGAGCAGCGCGGCCTGGCCTACGGCCTGTACCTGCGCATCGACCTGGAGCGGCTGCAGTGCCTCAACGAGAGCCGCGAGGGCAGCGGCCGCGGCGTCTTCAAGCCGTGGGAGGAGCGGACAGACCGCTCCAAGGTGGGCTGCCCGCGCCGGGGCGGGCGGGGCGGGATCCACGGGGCCTTCGGACACCGGGCTGCTCTGTCAGCCTCACTCTTGATGCTAAAAATAACTACAGCCAGGTCGCCAGGCGCTTTCCGCTGCCGGCCTCGCGCTTGCCTTTTGGGAAGCGAGCAGGGCCGTCTTCCCCGCTTTGCAGATAGGGAAACTGAGTCCCGGAGAGTGGAAGCGGGCGCTTTGGCTCTACACAGCGTAACGCTGTGTTCCAAGGCTGCCTGGGTTAAGGAGGAGGATGGCCGTGAGGGCGTTTTCCCTTCGGTTTGACCATTGGTCCCAGTGGCTGCGTGATCGTGTCACCTGGTGAGGACGGGCAAGGGAGACCATGGGTGTTACCGATCTAGAGCGCAGGCCCCCTTGAGAGATAAGCCGGTTGAAAGTTATGGACCCTCTTCAGAAAAATGCACATGARCACTGATCTCTCAATTTGTAATTCAGGAGATTTCGGGTTAGGAAACCTCTAATTGGATGGTCCTCATCAGAACTCTGTGGATAGAAATATTAGTTTCAAATTAATAAGTACTGGAAAACTGAAGAAGGTTGACTGCATTGCACCCCAGTTTGCAGAACAGGGTGGGAGATGCCTGAAGACATAGGCTCTCAGCAAATATTTGTTGCTTTCTCCTCCCTCCTCCCCATTCCCTCCAGTTTGTTGAAAGTGATGCAGATGAAGAGCTTCTGTTTAATATTCCGTAAGTATCTCCTTGGTGTCTGCCTCAGGCTAAATAGGCTGTACACAATTGTCTTCTCAGATGGATTCATTCATTGCCTGGGTCAAGAGCACACATCTGTGTAGAAATGGGATAATACTTTGGTGGGTTTGAGGAGGAGAGCATCATAACTCTTTTGATGCAGACTGGAAGCAGATATATTTGTTGAGCAATAACTGAAAAGTAGATGTAAATTTCTTAGAATTGCAGAATGCCAGAGGTAGACATGATCTTAGAAATGATCAAGTACAAGTCTGACAGATGAGTACATTGAAGGTCAGAAAGGGGAAGGGTCTTGACTAGGGGTCACACAGCTAAGTAGGGATACAATCCCAGGTTGACARCCTTCTCTTTTGCATTCTGGCAGATTTACGGGCAATGTCAAGCTCAAAGGCATCATTATAATGGGAGAGGATGATGACTCACACCCCTCTGAGATGAGACTGTAAGTGGACAGGGCTTAGGCCCTCAAGAACCTTTTAGTTCTATTTCTTTCTTTAGTAACACTTTATTCCATAGTAATATAATTTTTCTTTATTAGATTTGATATTCTCCCTTTTAAAATATTTTGATCTTGTTATTTATGTGGGAATACACTTATCTCTTTATTTTTTATTTCTTTATTTTGAACCCAAGGCCTCACACATGCTAGCAAGCACTCTACCATTGAGCTACATCCCCAGCCCAGTGACTTGTTTAGATTAAGCATCTTCAGGGCCAACAGCTTGTCTCGTTTTCAAAGTGCTTACTGTGGCATCATTCATTCAGAGAGCATTCTATAAATGCCAACTGTTGATGACTTTGCAGTTTTCTTAAAAACCCAGCTGCAGATCTCAAACGATCTTTATGGATTCCACTCTTGGGATGAGCTTCAAAATGTTCCTTGGTATTTCACTCAGTCGTCATCTTTGCAGATGTTATGTTGACATGAGATTGCTTTGTCTGAGTTTGTGTGCTAAGTTCTGTGTATCTTTTATGACACTACATCTGTTGCCACCAGAGTTAGTACTCCCTTTTAAACAACTTACTTTATTCAAGTGTAGTCTAAAAGAGGAAAAAATTTTTTCAGAGTTCTGAGAAACAAATAACAGAATAATTTTACATTAAAAAAAAAAAACAAACATCCAGCTGGATTGTGATGGTGCATGCCTGTAATTCCAGCAGCTCAGGAGGCTGAGGCAGGAGTATTGCAAGTTTGAGAGCAGCCTCAGCAACTTAGTGAGGCTCTAAGTAACTTAGTGAGGTCTTGACTCAAAATAAAAAATAAAAAGGGCTGGGAAGAATGTAGCTCAGTGGTAGAGTGCTGCTGAGTTCAATACCACCACCTCCCCCGCAAAAAAATCTTTTTTTTTTTTTCATCCAGATAGGGATGGTGCCCAATGATAGAGTGTGTGCCTAGTGTGCCTGAGGCCCCAAGTTTGATCTTCAGCACTGTAAGAAAAAGAGGAAAAAAATTTTTTTTAATCTGAAAAATTGATCCAGTTTAAATGGACTTTAGAGAGATTTGATAACTTGATACCATTTTTGAATATTATAAAACAAATTTAAAAGCAGATTTATACATGCAGTCATTTTAAGAAAATTGTTTGTTTGGACTGATGCTTTTGGAGACTCAGTTACTAGGAAGATGGGCTAACTTCAGGATATCCCTGTTGCTGTGAGGTAAATTGGGTTCAAATTCTGGCTGCATACTGGCTAGCTGCTGCATGACTAGGACATTACATAACTTCATGCCTATTTTCTCAGGTAAAATAGGAAGAATAAGAGTGTAACCTCAAGAGGTTGTGGAGATCCAATATGTAAAGAACTTAGAATAGGTCTGAAACATAGTACAGGCCCAGTTTTTGGGTGAGCAGGTACAAATACTTAATAGTTCTAACACACTACATATATAACATTTCTCTGAATCTAAGATGTCATTGTAAACACACTATTATTTTAGGTAGAGTTTATAAAAAGAAACAATGATTCCTGGTCAACAATGACATATCATTGACACATCCAAAAAGTTAAATTAAGAATTTTGGGCTCTCTCTCTCTTTAAAAAAAAAAAAAAAGAATTTTTGGGGCTACCAGGAATTGAACCCAGGGGGGCTTTTCCACCAAGTTACATCCCTAGTTCTTTTTTTTTTTTTTTTTTTTTTTTTCAAGTTTTGAGATGGGGTCTTGCTAAGTTGCTGAGGCTGGCCTCAAAGTTGAGATCCTCCTGCCTCAGCTTCCTGAGTTGCTGGAATTATAGGGGTTTGCCACTGTGCCCAGCTAAATTGGGAATCTTAAATCAGAAGTATGTGAATACCAAGTATAGATGTTAGATGATATTAAAGAATTACTCTTGCAGAGGGTATATAGTTCAGTAGTAMAGTGCTTGCCAAGCATACCCAAGGTCCCAGGTTTGACCTGAGTACCACAAAAGAAAGAGAAGAAAGAATTGTTGTTAGCTTGGCTAATTATTAATATTGCTAATTACTGTAAAAGAATATCTTTTTTAAATTTTGTAGTTGAAGATGGACAGAATGCCTTTATTTTGTTTAATTTTTAATGCAGTGCCAAGGATCAAACCCAGTGCCTCACACATGCTAGGCAAACTCTCTGCCACCAAGCTCTAGCATCTTTTTTTTTTTTTTAAGAAATCTTTTTCAGGGCTGGGGTTGTAGCTCAGTGGTAGCTCACTCGTCTGGCATGTGTGAGGCACTGGGTTCAATCCTCAGCACCACATAAAAATAAATTAATAAAATAAAGGTATTGTGTCCATCTACAGCTAAAAAATTTTTTTAAAGTCTTATTCAGAAATACTAAAGTATTTATGGGTGAAATGGTATATCTGGGATTGCACTGAAATATGAAACAAAAACAAAATAGGGGTGATAGGCAAAATCAGCATAAATTTGTTAATTAAACTCAGTAGTAAGGTATGGAGTTCATTATTTTCTGTCTGCTTTTGTGTATGTAGTTTTTCATAAAATTGTAAGTTTTAATATATACAACTCTTAGAATTGATCCAATTTAATCTTCATATCAACTGTTTAGACTATGTATTGTCACTATCCCAATTTTACAGATGAGGAAACTGAGACACAGAGAGGTTAAATCACTTGTCCAAAATTACACAGCTGGTAAGTGACAGTCAGCTTTAGACCTAGAAGTGTAGCTCCAGAGATACTGCTATTTATCTCTTTTTAATCTTTATTATTATTTTAATTGATACAAAATAATTGTGCATATTTTTATGGAGTACAGTATATTTCATACACACAAATGTTCAGGATGATTGATATAACCATCACCTTAAACATTTGCCATTTCTTTGTGTTGGAAACATTCAAAATTATCACTAGGGCTGCAGATGTAGCTCAGTAGTAGAGCACTTGCCTGGCCTGCATGAAGCCTTAGGTTCAATCCCAAGCAGCCTTACCCTTCCCATCCCCCCAACCTTAAATATTCTCTGCTAGCTAGTTTGAAATATACAACTAATTGTCATCAACTATAGTTATCCTAATGTGCTATTAAGAACATTAGAATCTGGGCAGTGATGCACACCTGTAATCTTATTGATTTAGGAGCCTGAGGCAGAAGGATTGCAAGTTTGAGGCCAGCCTGAGCAACTTAACAAGTCCCTCAGCAACTTAGTGAGACCCTGTCTCAAAATAAAAAATAGAAAGGACTGGGGATGTGGCTCAGTGATAGAAGCACTCCTAGTACCAAAAAAAAAGAACATTAGTGGTATTCCTCCTATCCAATGTATCCCTATACTGATTACCCATCCTATCTTCATTCCCTCTTCCCTCACTCTTCCCGATCTCTAACCATTCTACCTACTTCCATGAAATCAACTTTTTAGCTTACACATCTTAAGTGAGAACATGCAATATTTGTCTATCTTTGCTATAATTCACTTAATGTTCATAGTGTATGTATATGTATCTATATATATACACATATACATACGTGTGTGTGTGTGTGTGTATGTATCACATTTTCTTCATCCATTCACCTGCTGATGGATACCTAGATTTATGCCTTATCTTGACTACTGTGAACAGCGCTGCAGTGAACATAGAAGTATGGATGTCTCTTTAACGTACTGATTCCTTTCCTTTTGTTATATGCCCCATAATGGAATTGCTGGATCATATAGTAGTTCTCTGTCTATAGGGTTGTTCATACTGTTTTCCGTCACACCAACATGTGGAAGAGCTCCTTTCTCTGTGCATCCTTACCAACATTTATTTTCTGGATTTTTGATAATAGCCATCCTAATGGAAGTGAGTTGATATCTTGTTGTGGTTTTTTTTTTAATACTTATTATTATTTTTTTTTTTTTTTAGTTTTTTAGGTGGACAAAATATCTTTATTTTATTTTTATGTGGTGCTGAGAATCAAACCTAGTGCCTCATGCATGCTAGACAAGCACGCTACCACTTGAGCCACATCCCCAGCCCTTCGTTGTGGTTTTGATTTCTATTTGCCTGATAGGTAGTACTTTTGAGCATTTTTTCATATATTTGTTGGCCCTTTAACTTCTTTTGAGAAACTCTATTCAGTTCTTTTGCCTGCCCCCTTTTTTTCCCAGTACTGGGGATTGAACCTGAGGTTGCTACCACTGAGCTATATCTCAAGCCCTTTTTATTTTTTATTTTCAAATAGTGTCTCACTAAGTTGCTCAGGCTGGCCTCGGTTTTGATTCTTCTGCCTCAGCCTCTCAAGTAGCTAAGATTTTAGGCGTGTACTACAAGTTCATTTGCCTGTTTTTTTTTTTTTTTTTTTTTTTTAAAGAGAGAGTGAGAGAGGAGAGAGAGAGAGAGAGAGAATTTTTTAATATTTATTTTTTAGTTCTTGGCGGACACAACATCTTTGTTGGTATGTGGTGCTGAGGATCGAACCCGGGCCGCACGCATGCCAGGCGAGCGCGCTACCGCTTGAGCCACATCCCCAGCCCTCATTTGCCCTTTTTTTAATTGAATTATTTGTTTTTGCTGTTGGGTTGTTCCATATGTATTCTTGCCATTAATCCCTTATGATAACTAATGAATTGATCACAAATATTTTCTGCATTCCTATAGGTTAAGACACTATTTTTTTTTCCTTCCAGTGCTGAAGATTGAACCAGGGCCTCTGGCATGCTAGGCAAGCACTCTGCTTCTGAGCTACACCCCCAGCCTGAGACACTGCTTTTAACTGCAGAGCTGCACTAGCTCTCATAGTACTGCTCATAAATAAATGTTCATTATTATCATTCTGCTGTGCATCATTCTTAGAAACACTTTGAAGCAAACATTTGCTTTTTTAAATTATATGCATTTTGCTGCTGCTGAAGTCTGGGCCTTTCCTTTGTAGATATGTTAATAAAAACACCTTCGTGTTGTTGGGTCTATGTGGCTTAGTCCTGCAGAATTTGTAGAAACTGCTATTACTTAGATTTTTCTTTGAAAAATATTTTCTTAAATTGCAGTGATACCTTGACTTGCCAAAGCCTTTTGCAAGTTTTCAGGCTTTTGTGCTCTTTGGAATCGGAAATCCCTAAATTGTATTATTTTAAGAACTGTAAGATGATTGAGTGTATGGGGTAATTTTTGGAAACAAAAAATGCTTGAATGTTGGGTTACCTGATCTTATCTCTTAACTGTTTAATATGCTTCTGCCAAAGTGTGTCTTTTTTCCCATGAGTAGGCTGTTTTATTTCACATCCTCAGCTTGGTATGAATGTGCTGAGTGGCTTATTTTCTCCATGCATTTGCTGCACGTGACCTAGTTTGAGCCTCCTCTTTGTGTATTGCTTCTCATGTGATCTTAACCCACTCAAAGATGCTACTGGATCATGTTGCAGTTCTCAGCTCTTTTTTCTTCCTCTTTCTCTGTCTTTCTTTAAGGAGACAGGTATCTTAATATCTTGCCTAGGCTGTCCCTGAATCCCTGGGCTCACATGAATCCTCCTGCCTCAGCCTCCTGAATAGCTGGGACTATTGGTGTACACTACTGTTTCTTGTTGGTTTAAGGATATTTATGTCTAAATGTCAGTAAAATGCCATTTCCAAAATTTGACTGCAAATTTTTATCTCCTTTAGATGGAATTGAAGTAAAGTCAGTTGAGCAGTCAATAGGAAGTCTTAAAAAAAAAACCCTGAAAACTGATAGTGCACATTTCTTGATTTTTCCCCCCCTTTCCTTTCTCAGGTACAAGAACATTCCACAGATGTCGTTTGATGATACAGAAAGGGAGCCAGATCAGACCTTTAGTCTGAACCGGGATCTTACAGGAGAATTAGAATATGCTACAAAGTAAGCATGGGACCTGCTTTCCACTCCTGCTGAGGAACAGTAGCACCTCTTGTTGTAGTGAGCATATCCTCATATGCAGCAGTGCTTACAGAGCTTACCATTTATTTTTGGCCACTCTCCTGCCCTCTTAGCATCAGAGATGAGTTTAAAAAGTGGAGGAGGCATCTCGATCCTTGGCTTGGTCAGTTTTGGGCAGAAAATCAGTGTAGGCCACAGACTTGTTAACTTGTAAGCAATTGGCAGATCTGCATGAGCTCCCAGGATAGTCTTAGGAAATGTTTTTTGGAATTCCTCTTTGCATAGTGGGCCTATAGCAGGCTCACTTAGTTTTCTTTCTCCTATGGCTTAGATTAAGCATGCTTCAGAACCCCTGCCCAGTTACACAGCATTTCTCATTCCTTTTCCCCGTGAGGGGAGGAGCAGTGTTTATTCATCTTTGTGTCTCTGCTGCCTTGGACAGGATATGGCAGATGGCTCAGGAAATATTCACTGAATGAATTGCTTGTCCAAAGGAGAAAAATGAAAAGGAAGAACCCAAGATTGATCCCTTACATTTGCCTGGGTTTTACCATATGTTGGAGCTGAACTGTTGGGCCTTGGTTGTGAGGTGCTTATTGGACAGTAACCTGTGTCTTCTCTTCTTTCTTCTTTCATCCTCTAGAATTTCCCGTTTTTCAAATGTCTATCATCTCTCGATTCATATTTCAAAAAATTTTGGAGCAGATACTACAAAGGTCTTTTATATTGGCCTGAGAGGAGAATGGACTGAGGTAAGAGGGGGTTGATAAAAACATATCAGCACACCATCAGAGTGGGGGCTTTTAAGGGAAGGGAAAGAGCAAATGAAACAAATTTTCTTGGTTTCTTCATTATAACATGTTCCCATTTGACAGACTATAGGAATTTTTAAAATTGAAATTTATGTTAATTCACAGTTTTTCACTTTCAAATTTTTTCCTTTGGCAATTTCAGCAGGGCGCTGGAAGTATAGCTGGTGTTTGAGCACATGCTTAGCATGTTCAAGGCCCTTCCTGCACCAAACAAAAACAAAAAGCATTCTTGATAATCCTTCTTGTTCTAAACACCAGGGATAAGATGATAAGATAAACAAGCTCCTATTCTCATAGTGCCCTCATTACAGTGTGGAGAATGGATCTCAGTTGCAAGTGAATCCTTAATAATGAGCTTTGCAAATTTCTCAAGATAAAAAAAATAGAAGAGAGGAGCTTTGAGACATCTGCTAGAAAGGAGACTGACTATAGACTACTCCACTGTGTGTTCTGGGGAGCCACAGTTTCTTAATGGCCCACCTACCCAGCATCTCCATTTTCTTGCAGCTTCGCCGACATGAAGTGACCATCTGCAATTATGAAGCATCAGCCAACCCGGCAGACCACCGGGTCCATCAGGTTACCCCACAGACACACTTCATTTCCTAAGGGCTGGCCCAGGCTCCCACAGATGTGCAGTCAGTGAAGACGTACCACCTGTTGGGAAGGACAGAGATGAGGCTCCAGTGAGAGTTGGTTGCCACAGCCTCTGCTGAGTTTTCTCTTTGGGGCTCGCTGCAGAAATCCAGCCTATGGACGATACCACACCACTGTGAGGGTTGTGTGGGTGCTGAGGGACAATCGTGGTTCTCTAGGGCACTGCAGAAATTGGGTCTTAGGTTGTGTGGCATCTGGCTGTCATGGATAATGCTTGCTTTTTCCGTTGATGTGGCCATGGGATCCCAAGTGTCTTGTTGCTTTGTGGCAGGATTTTTATGTGATTTTTTTCTTTTTCTTTTTTAAATGGAAACTCTTCCTGAGCTGCAGGAAACCTGAAGCATCAGGATTTTGTTTGTGTGAGCTATCAGGAGGGTCTCCAACTAGAAATACTTGTCCCTGCTTGTTCCTTCTCCCTGTTGTTATTCAGCATTCTTGTCAAGTTGCCTAGCTTGGAGTTGTCTGTCACGCACAGTGTCCCGTGGTTATAGCTTGAAAGGCAGGAGTCTCCTGATGATGTGTGATAGCTTGGGGGGGGAGATCTTTCCCACTGCCTAGCTAAGCAGTCTGGGGAGAGCATGGGAATCATTTGTGTTTGTGGGTAACCTGGTTGGGGTAAGATTGAGACTTAGTTAAAATTCCCTTTGGAATCTTCTTAATGTTTTATTAGCTTCTAACTTGTGTTGTAAGCCCAATGCCAGAATTTGGAGATAAGCTCTTGAGTTCTTCTGTTCATGGCTTTTATTCACTGTGACTAATAAGCTTCCTAATAAATCCTTGCCAGACATAACGTTTGTATTTTCTTTTGAATTTTAGGTAGTACTGATGACATTTTTATTTTACTGGAAACTGTACTGAACTTTGAAATTTTTGTTGTTTTGATCTAGGTAGATCATAGTGTCCACAATTAAGACTAGATCGGTTTCTCCTGGAAAAGTCAAGCTTAATTCTGTATCCAATACCCACCTTTGTAAAGAGGAAGGTAGGGTTAAAGACCGATATTCCATTTCTCATGAAGGGAAATAACCTATGGAATGATATTTACAAAAACAAGGGAGGGAGGGGGAAAAGGAGCACAGATCCTAGAACACATCAAGGAAGTAAGGGTAAGGAAAGGAAATGAGCACTGCATTCTGTCTAAAGGTGGGCCAGACTTTGGACTTATATTAATATCTGAAAATCAGTCTAGAACTTGAAGAGAACTTAAGTATTTGAAAAGGAGATTTGAGGTTGTCAAGTTCTCTCCTTTGCAGAAAGCAGGAGCAGTTGATAAGGGGAATTAGTGTTGAATCTGATCCTCTTGAGAGGAGGCATTGGCCTGTGCTGTTTTCAGGAGGATCTAGCTACTTTCTTCAGCTTTTCCTCTGAAGTCTGCCACCCCAATCTTGTACAGCCTGGAGATTCTGAAATGCAGCATGAAATCAACTAGAATGCAAGTGCAGTTCTTGACGCATTAAGGGTCCTACCCACTTGTCAGCCACAACCTCTTTGTTTTGGTTGAATCATCTTACGGATTAAAAGAAGGGCTGTTTTTTTTTTTTTTTTAAGTATTTTTTAGTTTTGATGTACCTTTATTTTTTATTTATTTGTATGTGATGCTGAGGATCGAACCCAGTGCCTCACACAAGCACTCTGCCACTGAGCCACAACTCCAGCCCCTATGTTTCAATTTGGACTAAGGAGAAATAAAAAGTTAGAAATCTCAGAGCACACCAGCCGTTCATTATTTCTACTAACTAAAGCACAAATGACCCGTAGCCCCTGGGGCTGGGCTTCTGAATTTAAACTTCACTCTGAAGAATTTGCTGAAAATGCCATGATGTTGGGTGATTGGAGGTGCAGGAAGAATTTCATTCTTCATCAGCAGACCCAGAAGGGATTTTGTTGTGGTGGAAGCCATACTTTCTTTCATTTTTGTGTTCTCTTGTGACATCCAGTTCTGGATCTTTGATTTACATTGTTTTTTTTTTTTCTCCAGTTTTTCTCCCCAGAATGTTTGTATTCTAGGTACCAACTCCATGACCTGTTGAGTCCTCAAAACCAAACTGCCTCTTGGCTTGGAGAAAGGTGCTTTGTTGAGCTTCCAGCTTGTACTGTTTTGTTTCAGTTCAAAGAATTAAAAAAAAAAAAAAAAAACCTAGTGTAGGTTAAGCTGGGAGGATGAGTCCTCAGCTGCTGAGGGACAAGTGTAACTCAACTTGCAGATCCCCACATGTGCTTTTGGGGGCATGGTCCTTCCATTCAGCTTGCCTGTCAGGCTTTTTCTCCCCTGAGCTCTATTTCCACTTTACTAGTGTAAAGGCGACTCACTGGTGACCAAATGAAGCCCTTTTGTTCCTGACTCATTGGATGGTGACATTTTGTGCACCCCGCATGGCACTGCTGGTCAAGGACAGTTCTAAGATAACACTGCTTGATGCCTTTCCAGCTATCCTGATTTGGCCTGCATATTTTCCCAGGGTACCTTTTAGAGTAATTAAAGGCTCATACTGGGACTTTACAGTGTATAAAGCATCTATACACGACCTCATGGGAGCCTAACATTAAAACTATGAGGTAGGCAGGGTGGTTATTAACACCATTTTATGGCTCAGGAAGCAGGTCAAGAAAGGCAGGCTTAGAGCAGCCTGTTTCTTTCCCCACACCTTTTCTTTAAGGTAAGACTGGAGGACTAGGTGATCTCGGGTCTTTTTGGGTCAGAGAGCCTGGAGCAGTTGGTGAGGACGGACGGAGGACCACGAGGGCTGCAGCTGGGCGCAGCGCGGTCAGGAGTCGTCCTAACTGAGCAGATGAACGCTGCTCTGGCCGCAGTGGCGAGACGCGGCTGTGCGAGGCGATGGCCATGCCGATGTATCCACTGATGCCCTTTCACTGGACGTGCACCTCCCCACGCTGTGCTCCGTGACACACACAGACCTACCTAAGCCAGCCCCAAGCGGCCCGGGTCCCCAGGGCGTAACGCAGCGTGCGGGCGGAGATGGGCCGGCTTCTCGCTGGCCAAGTGCGCGCCTCGCTGCGCGCGACGACGTCCTGCGGGAGGCTCGCGCGGGGAGGTGGGGTCGGGGGCGGGAGGTCGCGGGGAAACATGGCAGCCCCGTGCGGGGAGCCGGCCCGCTTCCGGGTTCCGTACCGCCGGCCAGGCCACTTCCGGCAGCGCGATGGCTGGGTTCCCGGGACCCGAACGGAAGTTCCGGCGGGGGCGGCCGAGGGGGAAGAGAGTCTGTGCCGGAGAAAGGGGAGAATCGCCCGAGCGGTCTCGCACGCCCCGGGAGAGAGGTGCCGGGCCGGGGCGCGGGGCGCAGGGAGCGCCGGGGGCGGCCGCGGGCGGGGCGCAGGGAGGCGGCGCGGCCCGAGCGATGGCGGGGGGGCGAGGCGCGAGGCGCTGTCCAGTCCTGGGCACTTAGGGAGTGCAGCGCGGCCGGGCGAGAGGCTGCCGGGTGCGCAGAGAGGACTTCGCGGTCGGAAGTGGGGGATCCCGTTGTGGGGCAGGAGCTTCCCCAGGGTCAAAGATAGAAAGCCCCTTTGTGGGCAGATGAGAGTCCTGGGTCCAGGTAGAAAACGTCACTGGGGAGGCGGTGACCCTTGTCAGAAGAGAAGTTCCCATTGTGGGTAGTGGGAGACCCCGGGTCTTACTGGGGTTGGAGGAAGACCCCAGGTCTGGGGGGAAGACACTCCTTCGGAGAGGGGGAGCCAGTGTTGGAGGGGGGAGTCCCCAGAGCGAAGAAGACAGGGAAGCCCAGCATTCCTGGGTGGGAAGAGGGACCCTAGGATCAGAGGTGCAAGATCCTCTGTGAGCTTCCTGCTGTAGGGAGGGGCAGCCTGGGGTCAGAGCTGGAGGGTGGGAGCCAGCTGGGAGTACTGGACGCCCTGTAAAAGGGAGGAACTTGGAGGTAGGTAGCGGAAGCTTCCGGAGTTTGGAGGATGCTAAGGGCGGGGAGGGGCCAGCCAGCCTGACATTCTTTTGTGTGTTTGGGAGTCCCAGAACCTGTTCAGCTGGGGCCCCATTTGGAGTCAGTGGCGGCGGCAGCAGCAGCAGGTAGCCCTACTCAGGGGTGTGTGGAGTACCAGTTGGGGGTGGGTGGCACTTGGGAGTCCTTATGCATTCAGAGGACATGGGCAGCTCCAAGGGGCTCTGGGAATGGTTGAGCCAGAACTGCTGTGAAGGCTGGATGGGGGGCTGGGAGGGAGGAAGGAGAAGATGAGAGGAGAGCAGGGTCTGGAAGCATATTTCTCTGGCATTTTTCTCCCCTTCACTTCCCAGTATGGGTGGGGTTGGGGAGGAGGTGACCCAGGGACTCTAGAGAATTGATGACTGAAGGCAAGAGAGGACACAGCACTGAGGAGCTTGGGGGTGGTCAACAGGGGTTGCCCTGCCTCCTTTCATTCCCTTCCCACCCTCCAGCCCCTAAGCCCTGCCCCTGCTCATCTCCAGCAAGCTCAGGCTCTGAAGTTGGGTCAGAACCAGGGACAGAGTTCTGGGCCACTGCAGTGGCTGCCTCGCTTTTCAGCCCTGGAATGGAGGCAAACTTCTACCCTCCTGCCCGGGGACTTCTGCGTGCTTTTTCTCTGTGTCCAGGACAGAACCTGGGGGCTGTGGCATGGGTGGCACCCCTTGAGCCAGAAGGCTGCCCCCTGCCCAGCCTCGTTCTTGACTGCAGCCCCTCATTGTTCAGGCCCAGCCTGCAGGGAGCCCTGCAGTGTATGTGTGGTAACACCATGTCTGTACCCCTGCTCACCGACGCTGCCACTGTGTCTGGAGCTGAGCGGGAAACGGCTGCGGTAAGGGGACCCTTTCACCTTTGGCAGCACCCCACACACACCCCCTGCTGCCCTGCTCTCATTTGCCAGACTCCTTGGGGACAGCTGGGGAAACTGGCTGGAGCCGGTGTGGGAAACACGGAGGTGGCAGTGCTGGGAAGGGAGTAGGCCGAAGCCCAGGAAGCTCAGGGTTAATAGCCTGTTGGCTGCCACCTGTTTCCCCCAGGTCCTCGCCTGTGGGAGGGGTGGCCCATATTGGAGGATCTGGAGGGGGAACTTCCTCATGGCCCCATCTCTGACTTTTCTAGGTTATTTTTTTACATGGACTTGGAGACACAGGGTGAGTGAGCTGGGGAGGGGGCCTTCCTTGCGGAGGGGGGCAGGGCGGACAAGCAGGCTGGAGGGCCTCCCTCCCTGCCTCCCTCCCTGCATCAGAGCCTCTTCTCCCTTCCTTCCCTCCTACAGGCACAGCTGGGCTGACGCCCTCTCCACCATCCGGCTCCCTCACGTCAAATACATCTGTCCCCATGCGTGAGTGTCACCCCAGCAAGGGAGAGACTGTAGGGGGATCATTCAGGGTGGGCATGACCCTGTGGTCCCAGGCCTGTTTGCAGCTGTCAGCTGTGTCCTGGGGCTAGGGCTCAGAGCCTGCAGAAGTGCCTTATTAGCCTGAGCTCTTATGGACCCCTCTGGAATGGATCTAGCACCAGCCCCCAGCCCTAGGGGCTCCTAGACCTCCTAGGACCAGGGCCTCCCATGCCCCTTCCCCAAGTACTCACCCACTGAGCTGGAGCCCCGTTTACACCAAGCGCTGGGCTGTGCTTCTCCATCGTTACTGCTGATGCCCCAACCACAGCCTCCAGCCCCACGTGGCAGGTTGCCTGGCAACATCTTAAACACAGGCCCTGCTTGCTGGGAGGGGCCCCTAAGGGCTGCTCTGTCCCCTCCTGGGCCYTCTGCTGTAGCTTCCTTACCCCCCTGAGCATGACAGGCCCTTTTGGATCTCCCTCCCAGGCCTAGGATCCCTGTGACACTCAACATGAAGATGGTGATGCCCTCCTGGTGAGTGTGGGGCTGGGAGGACAGAAACCCAGGGAGCTGTGGGGGCTGGCCAGCCCAGCTGCCACTCCTCTGCTCCCCTAGGTTTGACCTGATGGGGCTGAGTCCAGATGCTCCAGAGGACGAGGCTGGCATCAAGAAGGCTGCAGAGAACAGTAAGGCCCCGGCCCCTTCTCAGCACCCTTCCCCGTCCCAAGAAAGTGCTGGACAGTACCTGCCTGGTTCCCTTGGGGTCCTCCCAGCAACTTCCCCCATCCAATCATGCCCCTCCCCCCAGTCAAGGCCTTGATTGAGCACGAGATGAAGAATGGGATCCCTGCCAATCGAATCGTTCTGGGGGGTTTTTCACAGGTGAGTGGGGAGAGACGGGGAGGGCTGGGTGGGTGAGCTGTGCCTTCATGACCTGTCATTCTCTCCTCCCTCCAGGGCGGGGCCTTGTCCCTCTACACGGCCCTCACCTGCCCCCACCCTCTGGCTGGCATTGTGGCATTGAGCTGCTGGCTGCCTTTGCACCGGAACTTCCCCCAGGTGAGGGTTCCCACAGACCCTCTCCTGCCTTTGGGTGTCCTTGAGGCTTGGGCATTGGGCTGCACTCTGGTTTTGCCCTGAGTCCTCTCTGGCCCACAGGCAGCCAACGGCAGTGCCAAGGACCTGGCCATCCTCCAGTGCCATGGGGAGCTAGACCCCATGGTGCCTGTACGGTTTGGGGCCCTGACGGCTGAGAAGCTCCGGTCAGTTGTCACACCTGCCAGGGTCCAGTTCAAGACATACCCAGGGGTCATGCACAGTTCCTGTCCTCAGGTCAGTGGGGGGCTTCCCACTCCCACTTCTCTCCCTCCTCCCTCCAGCGGGAGCCTCAATTTCTGCTCACCCCCAGGAGATGGCGGCTGTGAAGGAATTTCTCGAGAAGTTGCTGCCTCCGGTCTAATCAGAGTTGCTGGCCCCCAGCTAACAGGGGACCCAGCAAGCAAGTGCGGCACCATCTTGGATCTGAGCCGGTTGAGCCCGTTCCTTCCCTCCTGCCCTGTCCTCTAAGGCCTGGCCTGGCCTTGGCCTCTTGGCTGTCTGCAGCAGGTGGGCTGCTTCCTTACCCCACTTCCCTGAAGGCGGCCCCCCGGCGGCAGTATTGGAGGGGAAGTAGGCAGCGGGATAAAGGGGCCCAGCTGCTGACCCACTCACTCAGGACCTCACTCACTAGCCCCGCTTTGGGCCCCCTCCTGCGACCTCAGGGTTTGGCCCATGGGGCCCTTGCAGGCCCCAGCCCAACGGTTGCCCGGATAATCCCGTGTCTCCTGCCTCACTGYAGCTGCTTCTCAATCATGAATGTGTCCGTGGCCCGGGCCCCTTGCTGCTGTGGCTGCCTGCCCCTGGGCAGGGGTGTCGGTGAGGAGTTGGGAGCCTTCCCACAGCCATCCCCCCACTTGGGGGCTGGGCCCTGCCTCCCCATTACCCTCCTCCCTTGCAGGCCTGGAGCCTGCAGGGTTGGACTGAGGCTCAAGGTCTCCCCTGGCTGTCTCACCCTCACTGCGTCCCCACTCTAGGGCCAGGGAGGTGGTGGGGGAGGAGTCGTGTCTCGTCTTCTGTCTCCATGTGGTTTTGGGTGTTTTTCTTGTTGTGCCCTGGATTCCAATAAAATTAAAGAAATTGCTTCCTCAACTCTCGGTCCTGGCTGATTCCATGCAGGGGGTGCAGTGACCATCTGCAAGATGCTGCTCCAGTGTAAGAAAACATTTTTATTTTAAATACTTTGGAAAGCTCCCTCATAGCTGTAGAAGTCAGTGCCTGGGAGGGTGTGGTCCCGAGCCCTGCCTCCTCACCGACTGGTGGTGGTCCTGATGAGTTCCTGACCCCTGCAGGAGATCAGCAGTAGAGACCCCAGCTCCTGGTCAGTGGAGCTCTTGGCCTCCTGCCTGGTGGGCTGAGTGGGCCCAGCCTGGGTTTGAGGTAGGGGCAGCCTTGGCTTGGCCCCAGAGGTCTGGGGTGCTGGGGTCCTGCCAGAGGCCGTAGAGCAGGCAGTTGTGTCTCTTTTCCTTCTCTGGTCCATGGTAGGGGAGGGTCGTCAGGCCTGTGCACCAAAGCCTGAAGGATTTTGCTTCTGCCAGCGCCACAGATCTTCACCTGGGACAGACAAGGTGATGATCAGAACTTGCGCTGAAGGCGGTCCAGGATGGGAGCCCAGACCTGGTTCACTCCTTGTAGCCCCCTTTTCTTCTGGGTCAGGCCAGCACTCACACATCCTGTCCAGCCCCAGGGCCGCTGTCCAGCCCAGCTCCTCATGGGCCAAGCTGGGGTTGGCATAACAGGCAGCCACATCGCCTTCCCGCCGTGCCACCACCTTGTACGGGATCTGCAAGAGAGGAGGCAGGCTTAGCTGTGCTGACCCTGGGCCTTGCCCACGCACTGTTGGTCAGGGCCACTTATAGATAGCGCCGGGTGTGAGGCAGGCTGAGACGGGCGTGTGCGCTKGGCAGGCGAGTGGGAAGGGCCGGGCCTTCTGTGGCTGATGGGGCAGGGTAGAGTGGCACCCACCTTCTTCCCTGAGGCCTTCTCCATGGCTTGGACCATCTGCAGCACTGAGTAGCCAGTGCCTGTGCCCAGGTTGTAGATCTGCCAGGAGAACAGGGTTTGTGGAAGTGGCTGGACTCTCTACCCCTCTGGGGCCCATTTACCCAGGGTTCCCTGGCCGTCCCTCCCTGGCTTCTCCTCCCTACCCGGCAGCCACACTGCTCCTTCAGCTTCTTCAGGGCAGCAATGTGGCCTTTGGCCAGATCCACCACGTGGATGTAATCCCGGACGCCTGCAGAGGAGGAGGCGGTTGAGGGGAGTTCGTCCCACTTGGATCTCCTTAGGGGCTCCTACTCCTGAGTCCACCTGGTCCTAGGCTCACCTGTGCCATCCTCTGTGTCATAGTCATTGCCAAAGACATTCAGGGCCTCCCGTCGCCCGATTGCCACCTAGGGTCAGAGGTTAGGTCAGCTCTTTCCAGCCTGGCACCAGCTGTGGTACCCCTAGGCCACTCCTGTCCCTACTCCCTACCCTTACCTGGGAGACATAAGGCATGAGGTTGTTGGGAATGCCCTGGGGGTCCTCGCCAATGCAGCCAGAGGCATGGGCACCAGTGGGATTGAAGTATCGTAGCAGCACTGCATTCCAGGCCTGCGGGACACAAGTCAGGTGATGGGGACAGGGACACAGCAGCACGTCCCAGCTGAGTCCAGAGCCCTCCACCTTACACCTATRGCTGTCCTCTGTGGTCCCTAGAAATGGACAGTGCAAGTCACTGCTGTTTCTGAGCCTCAGCTTCTCCTCAGGATGGGGCGATCTCGGGTCCCCATCCTCAGGCTCAAGGGAGAAGTCAGTCGATGAGCAGAGCTGGGGCTGGGGCAAGGGGCCCTCACCTTGTCTGCCCGGCACAGGTCCCGGATCATCTCCTCGATGAAGAACTTGGACTTGCCGTAGGGGTTGGTACAGCCCCCCGTGGGGTGGGCCTCATCCAGAGGCAGGTACTGGGGGTTCCCGTACACAGTGGCTGAGCTGCTGAACACCAGGTTCTTCACCCCATGGGCCCTCATGATCTGGCCATGGAGGGAGGTGTCAGTGGCCTGTGCCTCCCATATTAGGCCCCTCTTTCTGTGACATTGGAAGGGCAGGGCTGCACTTATGGGCACTCTCATTTCCAGAGGGGGAAGGCATGGAGAGCAGAGGATGGGAGGAAAAAAGACAAGTTCAAGATGACACAGATTGAGCCTGTCTGATTCCCACACAGGCCCTTACCCACAGGGGCTGGCACTTCTAGCCAGACTTCAGCCTGGCTCTGGGCTCTCTTGGGGTCTCTGTCCCTCCCCTAGACCCCTTACCTCCAGAAGCTGGATGGTCCCTGTCAAGTTAACTCTGTAATAATCCAGAGGCTTCTGCACTGACTCGCCCACAGCCTTGAGCCCCGCAAAGTGGATGACAGCCTTAAAGCTGTGCTGCAGGGGCAGAGCCAGGGTCAGAGGTGGCTTTGTAGGCCAAGCCTTTGGCAGTGCTCCTGCCCCCTGCCCACCTGCACCCACCTTTTTGAAGAGGCACTGCAGGGCTGCCTGGTCCAAGATGTCCATCTCCTCAAACTCCACAGGGTGGCCTGTCAACTCCTGAACCCGTCGTAGGCTTTCGGGCATGGAGCCCCCTCCTGGTGGGGCACATGGAAGCCATCAAGATCAGGAGATGCGGTTCTGGAACCCAGGATTTCCCTTCTCCATCCCTCCAGAAACCTCGGCCCCACTGCCCATGCTCACCACGGATGGCATTATGAAAGTTGTCGATGACCACAGGGGAGTAGCCCGCCTCCAGCAGCTCCAGCACCGTGTGGCTGCCGATGTAGCCTGCACCGCCAGTTACCAGCACCTTCTCTGCCATTGCACCTGGCCCAGGACACAAAGTCTCAGGTGGCTGGCTGAAGCTGCTTGCTCAGCCCCTGCCTCTTCAACAGGAACTGGCCTCTGGCTAACCTTAGGGAGAGGCAGCCCTGTGTCCTAGTTACAGGATAGCTTTGGAGTCAACTCTGGTTCAAATCTGGGTACTCTCACTTTCCTGACCTTGGGCTTTTAAGATCACCTACCCCTCTTGGTGGCAGTTTTCATCTCTAGAGGACAGAGTTAATAGTTGTACAAACAGCATGGGGTAGGGAGGGTCCAATGAGGTGACTTTAAAGGCATGCCACATGGTACAGGAGGAGGGAGACAGATCCAAGGCTACCATATTTTCTAGTTCCAATTGATCCATAACTCTGAGGGTCCACACTTTCCTCTTCAATGTCTGAGGACAGGACAGTCCTGAGCAGAAGAGAATATGGCAGCAGGACTGGAATCCAGGATCCCAGGCAGGTAGGTGTTCTGTCCATTCAGACTCAGGCCTCCTGTGCCTCTGCCACAGCTAAGTGTCAACTGACTCCTTTGTAACTAATACCTCCTGCTCTAAGCAGCCCCTTCCCTATCCTTTCCTCAAGGATCAGCTGGGAGGAAACAGGAAATATATCAGATGACCTTAAAGGTGGGATCCTTTACCAGGAAGACTAAGCCCAGTTTGGGCGGCAGCACCTTCAGTCCTGGAGTGGGCTCCACCCCACCCAGCCTCACCCCAGGGTAGAGCCAGGCTGGCTCAGCCTCAGCCCTGCCAGGGTCAGCCCAGTCACTCCAGGCTTGAGCTGCAGATCCCGCCCAACTTTAGGCAGTCCTGGGTGGGCCAGTGTAGACGTGGACTTGGCCCAGTCCCCACTGCCAGGTGTGCATCCCCGCCCTGAACAAACTGCAGGCGGAGGGGGAGGGGCCGGAGAAAGCCCCAGACACTAAGGCCTTTCATTCCCGCGACCTGGCCCGCTGCCGCCTTCCTCCAGGCTGCCTGGAACCCCTCTGGGCTCATCGAGCTCCCACCCACTTGACAGCGCCCGTTGCGTGCCAGGCTCGGTACCAGGCACTTCTGCGTTATTTTCCTGAATTCTCCCCGCATCCTGCCGAGGCAGGTGTTATGACTGGCACTTTACAGAGAAACCTACTAGTGAGAGAGGGGGAGTACCGAGCCTACGGTCTCAGCCTAGTGACACCCGGGCTGGAATTCGCATCTCCAGGCTCGCAGCCCGGCCCTTCTCCCCAGCAGCCCGCCCATTTCCCCTCTGGACTCTGCCCCGGCGACGAGCCGCACTCCCAATGCGGGGCCCCCGAAAGTGGTCACGCAGAGGCCCTGGGGGGCAGGAAGGCTGCCTGAGGCCGGTCTCGCCCCCGTCCTGCGGGATGACCTTGGTCAGCTGTCGCTTCCTCAGTTTTCCCAGTCTGTATAATGGAGGGGAGGAGGCGCTGGGCTGTGAGCGTCCAAGGGCAGCGGAGTCTCGGGCTAAACTTTTGGGCCGTGGCTCAGAAGGGGCCCAGTTAGGAGTCCGGGTCGGGAATGAATGAACCCGAGTCGCCCGGCCACCGCCGCGGGAAACGCGAGCAGAAGGGGCGGGCCCGCCCGCCCGGAGGAGAGTCTTCCCGGAACGCGGATCAAGCCACCATGGAACTCCCCTGCTCCCTGCCGACCACCCGGCCCTCCTGAGACCGCCCGGCCCTTTAATGCCGCCCCGCAAACCTGCAGGGGCTCCCGCGCCCCGCGCTGGCTCCAGCGGCGCCACCTCCCGCGCCCCGCGCGGCGGTCCCTTTAAGAGCTGTCAGCCCACCCGGACCCCGCCCTGTCCACGCCCCCAAGGAAACGTGTCACTTGGGTTACGGGCACTACGGAGACTCCGGGAGGACAAAAGGCCTGTGAAACTTTGAGCGACTGCTCGGAGCTTTTCGAGGGAGGGCGGAAGTGGGCGGCACCACGCCGTGACCCGGCGAGGGCGTGCGACCCGCGGCCGCCCGGCGCCCTGGCAGCAGCGCCCTGAGCGGGGTTCCCACCCTCCCAGGTCCCCTCAGGTCTTGCATGAAACGCCCGACTCGGGGACCGCGGCGCCGCCCCGGCTGTGGTTCCGGGACGTCCGGTTGGGATTTGGAAACCAACCCCGGAGCGGGAGGAGCCCAAAGCTGCCGCCCCACGGAGTTTCGGCGCCCCACGGCCCGGCGGCTGCCCGCCCCCGGGTGGGGCTTAGCGAGGTTGCTAGAGTTTAAAACCAAAGGCCAGACTCGGGAAGGGGTGCGGAGACGGGGCGGGCGGGGCTCCGTGTAGGACCCTGGTCCACTGGCGATTAAAACAATTATATATATATGACGTGACAGAACGAGGACAGCTGTCCCCACCCCACGAAGTCCCTGGGCCTGCCCGCAGAGCCTGAGCTCMGTGCTCCCAGACTGCCTCCGGCCTGAGAGCCTGGCCAGGCCCCAGTGGCCTCCTGCCCTCAGGGGAGCTCGCCCAGCAGCCCGGGGCACAAACACACACCCTCAGAAAACAGCCCCTGCGGTGCCAGGAAATGTGCCCGAAGTCCGTTTTTCAGGCCACAGGGGGCTCAGGTGGGGTAATGAAGGGAATCCTGAGATAATAAACAAGTTTAAAGTTTCATCCCGCCCCCTGCAGAGTGCAGCGTTGGGAAGAGATGAATTCCTCCACTCATAAACACACAGAGCAGCACAAACGAATATTGGAAAATTAAGCCTTTAATTACATAACCTCTTTTCAAAAAATCACATTCAGAGTGGAGATTTTCCAGGGGTGATGGACTCAGCAGATGGCCACCACAGAAGCTCGGCCCTCATTTCTCTGCAAAAGTCCTCTGCCAGCCTTGAGAAAACTCCCCACCGCTTGCTTTAAGAAGGCAGAAAGCAGTGGCCTGGAGGCCAGGCTGGATGGAGCATGTGGTTAGACAGCTGGCAACTGCACCCAGAATGAGACCAACTGCACCCAGAATGAGACTTACGGATCATCCCAAATAGATTCCCAAGTGACCTCAGGCACTTGACTCCTGGGCCACTGGGTCCACAGTGAAGGGAGCCGTTCATTCCCAAGGCCACTCACTCCTACTTAGGTCTGGCAGGGAGGGCTGAGGCCAAGCAAGTCCCCTGGCCCTCACTTCCCTTCTGCCAGGGACCTACGTGCAGAGCTGGCTGGGAAGCCCTGCTCCTTTAATTTCATTCTCTTGTTCATTTCCCCGCTCAGGAATCATCCATGCCTGCTCCTACTCCCATACAGTTCCCGGGTGAGGCCCAGGGGCTTAGAGTTTACAGCTAGCCTGTGCCACTTTGGAACTGGTTTTTCTGTTCAGGACTTGACAGATAAAGTCTCCAGCTTCCAGGAGCTTCTGAAGGTTCACACCCTTGAGAAACAAATCAGAGGATACAGTAAGTCAAGGCCCTCAGGACCCAGGGGAACAGCAGACTAGAGACTGTGATGCTGCAAGGGAGAGGTGACGGCAAACAGGCTCCTTCCTGATGTGGGCTGCCATCTGGGGTCATCCCTGGGACTGTCCCTCACAATGGCTTGTGGTGCCACCATCAGGAGAGGGACCTCATCAGCTTTGCTGTCTCCATCTCCAGGGCCTGGCCCAGGGCCTGCCTAGTGTATTGAAGTACGGAGGGGCTGTGAGGCGGAGGGGCAGGAACGAATGCCAGCCGACAGGACTCTTTTTTTTTCTTTTTAACTTGAAATCCTGCTTCAGTCCTAGAGTGGCTGGAACACAGGTGTGTGCCATGACACCTGGCCCACAGTTGCTCTCATTTGCTGATGTGTACCGTGAGCTCAGCTCATGCTCAGCATTCTACTTGGTTCCCCCCACACACACCAGTGCTGGGGGGTGGGGGGGAACGCAGGCCTCACACAGGCTAAGCAGGCTGCACTCCCAGATGAACATTTTCTTTTTTTCTGGTACTGGGGATTAAACCTAGTGGTGCTTAACCACTGAGCCACATCCCCAGCCCTTTTTATATTTTATTTAGAGACAGGGTCTTGCTAAGTTGCTCAGCATCTCAATACGTTCAGGAGGCTGGCTTTGATTTGCAATCCTCCTGCCTCAGCCTCTCCAGCTACTGGATTACAGGTGTGGGCGCTCCACACATTTTCTTAATCCTCACAACAGCCCATTTCTCAGATTTAGAGAGATGAAAGAATTACATCAGCCTGTGAGGGGCAGGGCTGGTTTTTAAAATTCATCAGATTTCAAAGCGGAGGTTATATGGCACCCAGACCAACACCAAGGGCCCTTACAGCCTTGGCAGAGCCCTGGGGGCTTATTCTACTGCCCTCCTTTTACAGAGAACTAAACAGAGCTGACTCTGTTCAGGCCAGGATCCTCACCCCTTCAGGGCTCTCTCCCTGTTCCTTAGGGACTCAGAACGGAACAGTGGAGGACATTCTGAGCCCCTAGCCTTCTTGTGGCCCTGCTGGTGGCCTCACCACACTCTGCTACCTCAGAAACAGAACAAAGGTACCCCTAATCCCTGGCCCCTTTGCCTTCTTAACCCCACAACCCCCACTGGCTCCTGTCCTGGGGTTCAGGCAGTGCCGGGTCAGTTCAGAGAGGCTGCCACTAGGGGGCAGGGAGGCTTACCGTGTGAATGCCCAAGCCAGTTAGCATGTAGACCAGGTCCTCAGTGGCCAAGTTCCCTGATGCCCCCTGTGCATAGGGACAGCCTCCAAGTCCTGCCACGGAAGAGTCCACGACACTCACACCCATCTGGAAACAAGGATGGGGAAACATGACCGCCTCTGGGCACCAGAGCCCACCTCGCTGCCCTGGCAAGCCTCTCAGTGCTTGTTGCCTGAAATTCTGTCATTCTTTCCTTTGGCGTCTGATTGTGTTAGTGACAATCCCACTGAAAGGCTTCATTCAGTTCCTGGGACAATGTGAGTCTGTCTTCCCTGACTTTCCTCTCCAGGAGACTTTCTCCTCCCTTTCACCTCATCCTTCTTAGCCTGTAGGTCCCAGCCTAAGAGCCACCTCCTCAGAGAGGCCCTCCCCACCTCCCCTTCCCGCTGTGGAGATTTCAGACCCTGGTTGTTTACCAATTGCTTCAACCACACCTGCCCCAGTGCCCCAGGTCAGCTGCTTCCCCCTCTGCTCCTTTTCTTCTCCCTTCTCACACCTCCCCCACCTCCCCCACCTCACTCTCAGCCGCTTCCTAGTCACTTGGGAAACCTGCCATCAGAAGAGACCCTGAGCTCCAGACCAAGCCCATCCCTCCACCTCCAGAGGCCCACTCCAGCCAGCCCAAGCCGGCCCAAGTAGCCCTTCCCTCGGGTTCTGCAACCTGCCCCTCTCTCTGCAGACCTCCTCCCAACCCAACCTATTTCTTTTGTTCCCTTCAAAGCAAAGTGCCTCAAGCTGGGGTCGTGGTACAGGGTTGCTTAGGAGTAAGGAAGAGGGTTCATCCTCAGCATGCATATAAATAAGTGAAGATCCACTGACGACTAAAAAAAGAAGCAAAGAAGCAAAGTGCCTCAAAAGAGCTGTCCCTGCTTATTGTCTCCGGCCATTCCCCTCTGAAATGGGTATTGCCGTCCTTGCCTCCAGCTCTTCCGTGGAAACAGGTCCAGTGAAGGTCTCTGGTCACTGGAGTCCTTCATGTAGCTAAAGTCACAGGTCAAGTCTCAGCCCCTGGTTTCCTCCAGCACCTCTGGCCTCTCCCGAGGGCTTAGTCCTGTTTTTGCTGGCTCTTCCTCATCTCTGGCCTCTAAAGGATGGAGCCCTCACTGCGTGGCCCTCAGAGAGCTTCGCCTCTCTGCTGAAGTCTCCAACTGTCTACACCCAGACCTGAGGCTTGCCCAGCATGGCCTCTCCACTGGAGCCTGGGGAGGCCTCACCACTGCCACCACCTGCTCCTTCCAGGTTTGCTGCCAGAAGTTTCCACCTCCCTGACTGCAGGCTCCCAACTGGCATCTCCTGCTTCTACCACCCTCTGTACAGTCAGTTCACGTCCCTCGCACTCCTTAGCTTCTCAGGTCAGTCAGAAAGGGCCCTCACCTGGCTTCCTCTCCCCTCTCCCCACTGTCACACTGCTCCCCTATGCCTCCATGTTCCTGGATAGAAAGTGTACCTCCCCCCCCCCCCCGTGTCTTTAACCTATGTTCCTGAACTGGGACCACCTCAACACCGGTATTTATATGGCTAGGCTCACTCCCTGACGCCCCTCAGATCTCCCTCAATGCCGCCCTGGGGAAGGAGGCCTCTCTGTAAACACCTGGTGCTCCCTTGACCTGCTGTATTCTTCTCCATGGCATTTATGGACACCTGGCTGACCATATATATTTATTCGTCTACTTATTATCTGTCTCATTCACAGTTGAATCCTCAATGCTGAGAAGAGGGTCTGGCCTCACATCATATTTAGTGTTAGTAGCTGAGGAAGCTGTACTGTCTGTTTGCCTGTCTAACCTTTCACCTCCTTCCCCCTAGGA